AGCCCATGTGTGCTCTTTAAGCAGTGGCTCTGATGCAGGTGGCCCGGGCACCAGGCTTCCTTAGTGTGACTCTCCAAGGCAGTGTGGGGTCCCTACTTGGCCCTTATGCCAGAGCGTCTGCATCCTTCCTGAGGCTGGGGGTCCACACAGCACCCCCAGCAGGCCGGCTGCCCCGGGAGGGGCCGAGCGCCTCAGCTCCCCGTGCTGGTCCTGCCCCTGCCCCCGCCCCGTCCACCCTGCGTCCTCCCACCTGCACCCCCACACCCGACTCTCCTCTAGGGACAGACCTGAGTGGTCGGTTACCCTGAAGCTGCGCCTGGTGGTGGCACAGGGCGGGGCCGTGTCCCCCTTCCCAGAGGGTCCTCCCTGCACGCAAAGGAGGGGTCAGAGGGCCAGGCGCTGAGGAGCAGGGCCAAGGCTTCGTGGGACCTTCCACGTCCTGACGCCGCCATCCCACCCAGAGGTTCTGTGTGAGCATGTGGGGAGGGTGGGTGCCAATTTGCCGAAGCTGTCCAGGTGGCAGGCTGCGTGCCAGGCCGTGGGACACTCGCTCTGCAGACGGGGCACTGGTGTGGACACCAGCTAAGCACAGCTGGGCGGCCCTTTCTTGTCTGCAAGTTGGTAAGCTCGTGACGACCAGGCCTCCTGGGCGAATTTCTGAGTCATAAACATGATGAAGTTCATTAGTGGTTGTCAGGCCCGTCTAGGCAGCCCAGGCAGCTGGGGCCCTTTGGCAGAGCCTGGAGACTGGGTCCCTGGGAGCCTGCCAGGGTGCTTCTCAAAGCTCCTCAGGTCCCTCTGCCAGGCGCTGGGGCGGAGACCCTCCACCGTGTGTGCAGACCCTGGCATAACGGGGCTGACTTGCTATCTCTGGGATCCCCGTTCAGACCAAACGCTGGCCTCGAATGTCACTGCGGTAAAGAGGTTCTTCCCTGAGGGCAGTGCCTTGTCTTCTTGAAGGACGCCTGTGAGCTGAGGTCAGCCTGTGTCCCGCTGCTCACCCCACACGGTTTACTGGTGCTTCTGCCTGTTCAGTGCTGGGGTACTGGAGCCAGGCAAGCCAGGAGACACGGGGCACGCGGGAGGGGAGCGGCAGGTGCTGCCTATGGACAGCCCCCACCAGCAAGACCGCCGGTGGCCTCTCGAGCACACACCTCGCCTGTGATGAACCGCCTGGGAGGGCAGGACTGCATCACCTGTCGTGGGGGTGACCGTGGGGACATGCTTAGGAAATGGGGGTCCTGGACAGAGTCCCAGTGATGGGGGTCATTATCTTGTCTGTAGATGAGGGCCACCTTGCCGGGGAGAAGAGGTGAAATGGCAGAAGGTCCTCCCCCTCAACTCTGGGACCTGGACTCCTCAAATTCAGAGCGGCTTGTGATTCTGGAGGATTCCACCAGGTCTCGGGGTGGCCCGGTGCTGTCGGGGGGACAGAGTCCCTGCCTGGCCATGCCCCTCCCCGGGCCCTCCACTCCCGGGCTGGGGGGGGGCGGGGCCCTTCTGGAGGGAACACCGCCCTTCGGGCCCCTCTCCTCTCCTGAGACTCATGCCAAGAGGACTGGGGTTCAGCCCTGGGACCACGCATCCTGCAGGGACTGGGAGCTGCATATTTACCAGTCAGATTGCTGTGGACTCGGGACGCTGTGAACTCTAGAAGGACTTCCAGGACTTTCACTTTTCCCAAATGATCTCAGCGTCCGTGTGCCATGGGCCTCTTGGCCCAGGGTCAGCACTGGTGGTGTTTTTGCTTGCTCAGATACTGTTTCATAGAGGCAGATTTGCTAAAATGTATTTCCGTTCTGATAAAATATATTAAAATATATTTCCATTCTAAATAAGTCGGTGCCTGTTTTGAATTAATCACCACAGTGCCCAGTAATTAGGTGTCTATGCGTCTACGGGGGAGCTTCTCTTTCAGGGGGGAGGTGCTAATTCCATCTATGACCAGACAGTGGCACAGGCTGTGTGCCTGAAGGTTTTCCCCGGAAATCAGACTTCCACTTTCTAAAATGTAAGTCGAGATTATCCTCCCTAAATGCTCTAGAAGTTGCTGCAGCAGCTCAGAAAATTTGAGCATGCACAGCTGGAGAATTCACGTACTTCCCCAGAATCCAGGCAGAAGCCAAGGGAAACGGAACTTCACGGGCTTCACAGCCAATGCCTGGGCGCTGGAGGCCTGGGGAGGTCACAGCAGCCTCCGAGGGTGGCCGTCCCGAGTCAAAGGCTGCTTTGCTCATGTTGGGACAGGAACTCCTGTTTTCAAAGATCCCTTCTCTGCCGATCTCTCTTCTCTCCCCGCCCCCAGGGTCCTGCCTGACGCATCTGCGTCTGGATCACTGAAGCCCCAGCCCCACTTCTTTGCCTTCCCTCAAAAGACTTTATAACCTATAAAGGAATTTTTCTCAGTGGTCCAATCACCACCTCCTTCCGTCTGGAGGACCATGGCATCACTGCTGTGACCCTGTAAGGACCCCAGACTTCTTGTACCCAGATGGGTAGACTTCAGTGATTCCACCTGACCTCTCTGCAAAGTTTGCTAGGATGAAACAAGAAGTATCATTGCTCTGAATTAAAAACGCAGTTTCTGCCTCCTGATGCGGGGCTCAAAATTGCACCTATGTTCCCCAGGGGCCAGTAGACAATCACAGGGGTATTTTGGTGGACAAACTACTTTTGAAAAACCTTTTCAGACCTTTGCTTAACTAATTAATTAGTGAGCCTTAACACTTACGCACCTGAACCTGTACAGTATCTAATTCAAACTGTGCTCCCGGACCTGTGGTCTCATCAGCATTGCCGGGGAGGTGGTTAGGGGATGCGAGCCCTGGCGCCCCGCCCCAGACAGGCGGTGTCAGAAACGGGGGTGGGCCCAGTGGCCTGTGTTCAACCAGCCCTCGGTGTCCTGCTACCCCGGAGCCTTGCGTCAGTGAGGACCCCCACCACACCTGTGTCTGCGACACCAGATGCAAAGGTCTTGTGAGTGACGGCAGTGAGCACATGTGAAATGAACTGGACCAGGGGACATGGCTCGAACCCCCGACAGCCAGGACCTAGCGCAGCCACACCTCCCTTCACTGGGCTTCCCAGATTTTGAGGGGGGTGTTACACAAACTGAAGCTTTGTGGCAACCCAGCATGAAGCAAGTCTGTTGCTGTCATTTCCCAGCAGCATGTGCTCACTTTGTGTCTCTGTGTCACATCTGGGCAGTTCTCGCCCAATTCCTGACTTTATTATGAGGATGACAATTAGATGTTTGGTTTTCTGTGATGAGTGAGCGTGGATGTCACTACTGCGGCTCACTGAAGACTCAGACCATGGTTAGCACTTTTTAGCTATAGAGTATTTTTAAATTAATCTGTTCACGTTGTTTTTTTAGACATCACGCGACTGTATGCTTAACAGACTCCAGGATAGTGTGTGCACACGACGTCGACGCGCACGGGGAGAACAAAAGCTTCTTGTGACTCACTTCATTGCACTATGTACTTTCTTGTGGTGGTCAGAAGTGGAGCCCACAGTGTCTGTGAGGCCTGCCTCACAGGTCTGTAAAGAGGACCAACGTCCCCACATCAGAGTCCTTCCTGGGGTTCTTCCTGGCAAGTTCTCCCACAGCTTGAAGACGCCTGCGTCTCCATGCGCACGGCCCCCTCGCACCACTGGGGGGCGCGCTGGGCTTTCCGAGGCCCCCGCGGCCGCAGCGTTTTCCTCTTCGAGGTCCTGTCATTCTCTGTATAAACAAGTTACGTTCGAGTGTTTAGGATATAAATTACGACCATGCCGGCTGCCTTGGAAGGAATGTAAACACAGCACTGTGGTCGGAGCAAACTCTGAAACTGACTTCATAATTTATAGCAGGCCCCCGAGTAGCTTGGGATAAAAGAAAAAAAAACAACCCTATTTAACTGCAAATATGATAATGGAGACACAAAAAAGTGTTTAATCACTGCTTAATTTTGGAAAATATAGAAAGGAAACTTAAGGATTAAGAAGATGGTTAGGACTTTAAAAAACAAGAAGTTTTACTGAGACCGTGCTTGGCCTGAAATCTCTGAGAATACAAAGTCCCTCTGCACGAGGTGCCTGGTGACTGACTAGGAGACAGGCCTTCCCGGGAATGAGAAACAAAGGTGAGTTCTCAAAAGCAAAAGCAAAACCAGAAGGACTTCTCTGTCCCCACTCAGGCGGACAGTTGCCAGCGCGGCCTCAAGCCTGAAGGGCTGGCCAGGTCCTCAGCCGAGCAGGTCTGTTTCCTCTCGTTCTGTCCAGAGCTGCAGCAGCCCGGCCTGGAGCAGTCTCGGGAACCGAGCAAGAAGGGAACCCAGGGGACATGGTCACTCCCTCGTGAAAGACAGGAGGGCGGCGAGGGGCCGGGGAGGGATGGGAGAGAAGCGTGGGGGCTGGTGGGGCCAAGAGCTCTGAACTGGAGGGTGGGGCGGACGGCGAGTGAGGGCCCAGCCCGCTCTGTCACCCTCCAGGGAAGTCTGGAAAACCCTGATGCTCGGAGACTTTCGGGATGTGATGGCCACCCAAAGAGCTGTGACTTTCACAGGGAGAGCGGGACCTGTTCACTGGGCACTGCCCCCAGCTCGGAGCCCAGCCCGGCCCGGCCGGCCCTGGGTGACCACTCCGGCCAGTCTCTCCTCCCCGTGCTGGTGGGGCGAGGAGAGGACAAAGAGCAGAGCCCATGCGCACAGGAAAGACGACAAAGGGGCACAGAACAGGGCTTCCTTGAGCTGGTGTCGTGCCGGGTTCTCTTTTAGGCTCCTTTTACTTCTGGTTTTGGTTTAGAAAGAAAAGAACAGAAAATGGTGCTTCTTCTCTTTCTCTCCTGAGCAGACCCACAATCAGAACCTGGCCTGTGTTATTCAAGGCACAGACCCCACACCACGTCAATTATATAACTTGGAAAAAAATCAGCCCAGTGTAGAGTTGCAGCACCAGCTGGTGGAGAAGAGACCTAGGGATCGGATGCCCGGGGAGGAAAGCGGTCCCCCAACGACTATTTGTTATATACATTTTATTGAAAAAATTGTACATCAAAATAGTTCGGCAAACTGTAAAAGTATACGTAAGTGCAAATATATCCTCCTTTTAAAATACAAGCAAAGTGTGAGTATACACGACAATCATAGAAATAGCTTTAAAATGTGGTACAAAACAACCTTGTTAAAAAACGTCGTATTGTCATGATACCGAAAACCATGTTCTTAAACTAGACACGTTGTTGCTAAATACTTTCTTGAGAACCTTCTTTGGCACCTGTATCCAAAGGTAGTGTTTGTTGCAAAACACAGCTCTCCCGCTTAGCTACGGAGCAAGATGAGGCTTTCTTGAAATCCTGCGCTCAGCACTGCCTTCTGGAAAAGCACGTGCATTTTCCATACACAAAGGAAAACACACACAGACCCTGATTTCTGAAGGCAGTGAAGATCCCAGAGTCCATGCTTGTTTTCCTCGTGGTAAGTTCTCGCCATCTCTGCTCAGAAGCGGCGTCCCCCCCTCGCTGGGAGCCTGCGCGTCTTGGGCATTATTCTGCCAGGCACTGTCCTTCCACCAACGGTAGACAGATGTGCACAGCGCTCGCGGGGGAGTTCTGGCGAAGGGACCGGTGTGCCACTTCCTGCTACGGCGGCCGCCCGAGTCCACCTCAGCCATCGCCCCTGGGGGGACAGAGGGCCTGGTGCCCCCGTTCACATGACACAGGGCTTGATGTCCTGACAGACGCTCTGGTGGTGGTGGTGGTGGTAGTAGGGCCCGCTAGCAGAGGGGTGGAAGGAGGAAATGCCGTTGAAGTTGAGGACGAAGTCCTTCCTGTCGCACACGGGCGTGGAGTGGTGCTGGTATCGAGGCAGCCCCACTGGAAGGGAGAAAAGGAAACCTTTTCAAAAACATTCGTTCAGCTGGGGATAGCACACAGTACTTTGTAAATTGTAACTTAACTTGTGTCTTATTTTGACTCCAAAGAGGTTGGCCTGTGTTTTTGCCTAATGCTGTAAAACTGGTAACGTTTCTCCATGTTTCAAGCTGTGGCCAGAGGAGGACTCTGGAATCCTGGCTTGGTTCTGACCTGCCGGCACATGCAGAGCACAGTCCGCTCTAGGCCCGGTTCGCTGTGCCTGAGACCCCGTTTCTCCTGGAGACGGGCCGAGACTGTAAGGGGGCTGGACCCAGACCCCGGGCACAGGGCACCTAGCCGGAGCTGCCGAGGCCGAGCCCCTGACCCAGAAGCACCGCCATCGCCCTCACCTCAGGTTTCAAGCCTCCTGCCTTGTTTCCCAACCAACCGGCCTCTCCGAGGAGCAGGCTGCAGCGGGGCTGTTCCCGGCGCGATAACCATCTTGTGGCCAGAGAAGGGCCGAGAGACGCGCGCCTCTTAGCGGGTGGTGAACGTCTTTGGCGCTTCCAGAAGAGCCAGACCCGGGGAGCAGGGGCTGCCCTCGGATGAGAGCTCGGCTGCAGCTGCCCTTCGGGGTCTGCCGCGCGCAGGGGCCCCTCGGAGAGCGGGGCTGGCCGGGGCCGCAAAGGCCCCGCGTCCCTCTCCTCGGGCCCGAGGCGGGCCGCCGGCCGCCAACTTTTGCTTTTGCTTTCTCCTCGCCTCCCGCCCCGGGGCTCCAGGCATCTCTCCGTGCCGGGCGGAGCTAGGCCCGTTTGCCTGAGACTCTGTCCGTCTCCTGTGCGGTGGAGGGACCTCAGGTCACACTCTGGGGCCGGCCCGATTCAGTTATCGCCGCGCGAGAACCGTACCTGCCCGCCCAAGGCGCCTCGGCCCAGCCGCAGCCCAGCGCACGCAGGCGACCGCGCTGCCCCGTGGCCGGCGCCTCGGCCCACGTTTGGCGCCCGATGACACCACTGTGGCCAGGCTTGCCCTACAAGCACAGCTCTCAGGACGCGGCCCCGACGTGTGCTTATCGCTGCGGCGCAGGTGCGTTTGACCCCGTGGAAGCCCTCGTGGTGCCATTTCCTGCATCTCTAACCGGTAGGCCCGGAGGACCCTGAGCGCTCACACCTACCGACGCCAGCGCTTTGATGTGACCTAGGGGCCATAAAAGTCCGGCTCCTTCTGGCCTGGCTTTTAGGGCATAGAGAGGGCGTGGGCCCTTCTCCTACCCCCTACCCCTGGGCCGTGGGGTCCAGAGCTGGAGGGCGCTGCCACATCGGCGTGCGCGCGTGGGTCGTGCTGGGGGTGCTCGCGCGCCCTGGGCACCGCCTTGGCCTCCCCGCTGCTCAGGGGCCCTAGGGGACACCAACTAGGCGGGCAGGAAGAGCATTCGTGGCGGGAGCCACAGCACCAGGGAGGAAGAAGCAGGGAGTCCCCGCCCGGCCCGGCCTCCCTGGCTTTCCCTGAGCACTGTCCGAGGAGGCCGCTGTGAGGTAGCGTCCCTTCTATCCGGGAGAGTCGTGTTCCCAGGGTCCCGAGTTTCTGGGACCTGTGCCTGCACCGGGCGTATGAGCCAGAGCGAGGACGACCCCGCAGAAGGCTCAGAAGTCTCCGCGTGGTTTGTAGTGTTCAGGGTTTTGTTTCACGGCGGCCTCGGAGTCCGGGCTGCAGCAGATCCCGGCATCCTGCGGCGGGGAGCCAGGAGCGCGGAGCCGGGAGCCCGGAGGGCAGCGGGTGGGCGGGAGAGTGCAGAGCGCTCGCCAGGGCCAGGCTGTGATTGACAGCCAGTCCGAGGGAATGGAAAAAAAAAATAAGAGGGGAGGGTCGTCTGTGTGGGTTACTTGTTGAAATTCCCATAAAATTGAACAAGACTCTGCTCTCAGTGGGTTAAGTCAGGCTAAAATCCTCTCCGGTGTGGTCCTGCCCAGACGGTCTTTGTTTAGTTAACCTCTGAGACCCGCATTTAAAAGGCCTATTTGGGAAATCTCACCGTCCAGGGAACCGGCATCTTTTGCCCATTTCTGGCTTCCTTTCTCCCTGACGCTCTAGCCCCGCACCGATTCACAACGGGTAATGTGTGCATCGTCCTGCGAGCCCTTCTCTAGTTGGGGCGAGTGTCAGCTGGGCACCGTTGGCCATGCGGACTAGCGCATCTCAGAGGGGTTAATATTGAGGGTGGGTTCATCTCCACTGTCCCCATAAACCGGGCTATTCAGATTCCCTCCTCCACCCCCACTGTCCCCTCCCACCTTTCACCGCTTTTGGCAAGTCAATAAATTCCCATAATCTGCAAGCGACACAATTTACACCAGAAACACTACAAGAAGTGCCCAGGGGGCAAGCGTCTCTCAGGGGAGCCACCGGTGGGCCCCAGGTCCTGATGGCCTAGGCCAGGCCCATGTGTCATCAACTTGGGTCCACTGTGGGGGGAGGTGGGGGGCTTCTCAACAGCCTGGCGCCCCTCCCTGGCGACACTGGGACCCCCTCTGCTTTCCTCCTCACCCCTCCCTGGTTCCCTTTCTCCCAACGCACCCCTCAGTATGGAGCATCTCCCTTTCTGACAGTTACTTGTGGGGAAAGCACAGCAAAACCAACCCCACAAAAGACAAAAGAAACCAGCCACAGCTCCCCAGCCAAGGTCCCCTAAGGCCACAAGCCTTCTCTCTAGCTAAGTCAGGCCTGAGATTTGAGACTTGGAGTCCATGGGGACACCCAGGCAGCCGAAGAAGGCAGGCGACATGGCACCATCCTCCCAGCCGTACAAATTCTGGAGGACCAGCTGGGGCCAAGGTGGTGGGGTAAGGCAGCATGACCCTGATCCTCTACCCCACAAATAGGGTGCCAGCTCCCCCCAGGCCGTGGTAGCCCAGGAAGTGGCAGTCTCTGTGACAGGAGGTCAGAAGGCTGGCGACACCCCAGTGGGCCGGGCTCCCCGCCTTACCTGAGAGGTCCTCGCGGGCGTTCTGGTGCAGGTAGCTCTGCTCCAGCGAGTAGGACGACAT